AAGGTAAGGCTCGTAGGGTCCGTGGGGGAAGGACTTCAGCGCGTCTCATGCATATACAGCCGTCCATACATATATGTATGTTGTGCATAGACAATGTAGTCTTTCAGCATTCGGGTGTCTGCAGATTTTGTTTACTTGGGGCTTCTTAGGTTCCTGTGCTGTACTTTGCAGGGTTCAAGAATATGCAGAGAAGAATCCTGAGGAAGTCGCCCTTCACGCTAGCGGACTTACTTTGGGCATTTTACTTTTCTTATGGGGAGTGCATACAATGCATAGACCGCGCAAGCTCAAGTTTGTTGGAATTTAAGGACGCCAGAAGGTCATATGATGCAGGCTGTGTTCAAGGCCCAAACTGCTGCAGGAACGTAGCTCCTGAATTCGGCTTACAGTTGTAGAGTAGCGCAGACTGAGAGCGCTAGGAGAAGCAGCGATGTTTTAGCAGGCGCCGTGTTAACTTAAGTGCATTAATAGCAGCGGTTTTTCTGCAGTGTAGGCGCTGCATTTTATTCCGGACGTGTTGTTCGAGGTTTGTCACCGAGGCATAAGCGGTGGCTGTCTGCTGAAGTTCTAGGGTGTTGCGGGCGGAGGGACAGGCCAGATGCGTGGCCGAGTAGTGGTTCTTTCTGGGTCGATTTGGCCGTGGACGTTTGGACTGCTCTCCCATATTTGCAGTTCCATGGGACCGGCTCCACTACTTTGTTTTGTTTTTGGAGGCGGAGTACCGTGAGAAGCTGCACGATGCATTTAGTACTCATCGTAGTGTATTTTACAACGGGCTCTGCCTAATGAAGGTGTTTAAAAGCATTTGACCAAACCTCGCCCTGCCATTTAAGCCTGTAATTATAAGCCTGAAGTTGTGGGTGACATTAACACAAACCATGGAAGTTTGGTTACAAGCTTTCTGCATCCTTTTGTTTTTTTGTGTNTGTGGGTGACATTAACACAAACCATGGAAGTTTGGTTACAAGCTTTCTGCATCCTTTTGTTTTTTTGTGTGCAGTATAGGTGCATGTTAGTCAGAATAATTTGGGTGCGCCGTGCCAGATGTAGTTATTAGCCAGCAAGTGTAGTTTTGCCGAACAAATACAGGGGGTAGCAATGAGCACCGGAAGTCCCTTGAAGCTCGTGTAGCCCTAGAATGCCATCTAGGAGAGAACCACACTAGCGTTTGCATGCACTGGAATCCTTACCACGTAGTAGAAGGCTCAAATTAGGCATTTCGCTGTGACATCTGATGGGAGTGGGGAGAGTACTTACGCAGTTTAGTATCTGCAGCTCTCAATACATTCATTAGCATTATGCGGTAAGAGGGTGGTCGGTTAGCTGAGTGCTGCATTCATTAAGGGCCATCCTCTTCTCCTTAGATTGCAAGGAATTTACCCGAAGACAAAACGAAGACAACGCCCAGAAGATGCCCAGAGTAGAGGTCCTTCTCTTGCCTCTTCCTGTTGAATGTGTTGGAATGCAGCAAGCGGCAGTGTCCGACAATAGTATACTCGGCTACTTCAGTGTTGGAACATATTTTATTTCTTACATTCCGGAGTTATCGTCCTGAGAAACAACGGAGCGCTCGATGGTGACACTTGGGAAGGATCCACGGGCCCGTCTATGCCTTCTGCAGAATAGGCGTGAGCTCAGGTGCAAGGATTGAGCAGAAGCGACTCGCTTCATACAATCTTGTATTTCCCGTCTGGAGCTCTCTTTTATGAAGAAAGATGTTGCGGAAAAAGTCGGCCAAGCAACGCTAAGCTTAAACCCTGATAAAATAGCTACGCAAGCGCTCAGCAGTCGGCCCAATCCAAATGCTCAGTCTAAGCAATCGTATGTTGCTGAGCTTCCGGCTAAGCGCAGCCGATACAGAACAACCGCGGAACTGTTTACTCCAATTCAAGTGACAGCACCCAAGCTGAAACGTAAAGTGGCTTTCCCTGACGGGGGGTGAGCTTCTATCCCGTGTCTTCGCAGCAATCAAGCACGAGGGCGCTTCAAGACTGCCCGAAGATGCATCTGGATGCTTCAGAAAAACCGACAGGGAAAACGAACGGGAATTATTTCACTCAGATTATCTCAAGAACTGCTATCCGCCCCTACATTCTCTTGGCTTGTCCTTAGTTGTTCCCGGAGCTGCGTGTGTCTGCCTAAACTTTCGGCGTGTTCGTCAGTTCCACTTGCATATCTCCTTGACTCTTGTGCAATGGTGTGGCTAGAGAAGCGACTGTGAAGTTCAGTGAAGGCTACTCGAGCAGCTGTGTGACAACATGGAAACAAAGTAAAACAGCCCTTCTTTCTCAAGAATGCAATCCGCATTACGTTGAGCCGCAGTTAGGTGGTGACCTTGACACTCTGTAGAAATGTACAGGCGCATATATCTGAGCACAAAGTGGTGTTAGTTTTTCGTGTGTTGAGTTCACATTCTTCCAGGGACATACTTTGTTGTGCCCGTCGACGCCGTAGTGGCGACGGATGCAACGCTAACTTGAGTGCACACAAGTGTCCACAATGTTACAAATGCAAAGTCTGATGGAGTATATAGACTAAACACTGGGTTTACAGATGTGCTGCTCTCCAGAGTGCAATGGCAGACGGGGGACGACGGCCGACAACAACGAGTTGGAGGAGGGGTGTGAGGGCTAGGAATCAACCGAAAAATACAAAATTAGCAAGTATTACAATGAATTCACCTAATAGTAATATGTTGCTTTTCTTACTTAGCTCGTGGTNACAAAATTAGCAAGTATTACAATGAATTCACCTAATAGTAATATGTTGCTTTTCTTACTTAGCTCGTGGTTTCCCCCTTCGAAGCCGCATGTTGAGAAAGACCCTAGCCGCTGCCTAGGCCGGAAGAGGGGCCCCTGCCCACGATGTGTTTGCTCTAGTGTTTAGGAACCAGACGAAACTTCCCCAGACTGCTTGTCTTTTTTCCTTAGCTATTTGTCCTTATTTCATAAGAACAAATCGCAACGAAGGCCTCCTGCCGCTGTGACTGCTCGCACTCGAGACACACTCCCTCCTAGCTGCAGTACTAGCAGCAGCGCAAGCTGTTGCAACAGCCGATGTCTCCAAAACGACTGCGGCCCATGACGTAATACCAGCGGTAGAGCTCGCTGACCGTTGCGTGTCGAAGCAACCCCAGCAGCAACCTCAGCGGCAACCGCAGAAATTGCAGCCACGTCATTTCCTTCGGCAAGCCTGCAGGGCTCGCTATCAGCTATGCGGCTGCAACATCTGGTATCACAGTTGTTACTGTTTTTGCTTCTCCAGGCCGTTGTGTATCCACACCTGGCCACTACCCTCTCGCGGAATACCCCAGGCAACGCATACGAGCAGCAACTGCAGGGGCTTCAGAGCGGTGATGAACTCCTGCCGTGCAGCGGAAAAGCAGCCGCTGGATGTGGCTGCAGCACCCGTGTGGCGAGAACTACAAAAGGTGGGGGNCGTGCAGCGGAAAAGCAGCCGCTGGATGTGGCTGCAGCACCCGTGTGGCGAGAACTACAAAAGGTGGGGGCGTCAGCCGAGAGAATGCTCTTAACAACAATGACGGCAGCAGAGAGCGCAACAGGAGCAGCCGACAGAACAGCTGCATGACCGATGAAAATGAAGGCCCATCTGGACCCTCCGGATTCAGGACTCCATGGAAACATCATCTCGCTGGTTGCAGGGGGCTACCAGGCCAGCAAGTGTTACTACTTCAGCAGATGGGTGTTAACCGCCTCGCACCGCTTCTCCTTCGCGTTTTCGGTTTTCTGCATTCTGCGCTGCATCTCCCAGTGCTCCTCAAGCGATTGAAGAGTGTGCAGCATGGGGTGAGCAGTGATGGCGGGAGTAGAGGCGGCGGCAGTGGCGGTTGGTGGTCGTTCGGGCTGGAGTGGGATATAGCAGTGCCGCTGCTACGTTATTTTTTGTCGTTTCTGCCGTTCTTGTTGCTCCTGCTATCTTCCCTGTTACTCTTACTCACCTCTCGTAGCAGCCGTAGTGGCACAGTTTCTGCTGCTACTGAAGCTGCAAAAACAGTATCACAGGCACGGGGCAACAGTAGTGATGCTGCATACGCTGCCTTGCTGCTGTTGCTTCCTGCTTCCTGCAGCAAGGAAAGCAAAAGTAGCGGGAAGAGAAGCGTTATGCTGCTATTGTTAATACTGGCAACAGCTGCTATTGCTGCGACACTTGCAGCAACAGCAGCAGACAGTCTCAAGGCAGCGGGCTGCGAAGCTCCTCTGGCTTTTGAGGGGTTCTCTGGCTTACAGCAGGAGCAACAACAGGGAACGCGAATACAGCGGGGTCTCTATAGCATTCTTGAAGGCCTACGGCAGCTCCCCACAGAATGGGAGTCTATGGCTCCTGCTGCTATTGCTGCAGCGCGGGGCTACGCCACACCTTATCCTACTGCACCTGATGCAGCACCTGCTGCTCCCGCTGCGTCGACAGCTGTCTCGGATATTGAGGTGCTGCTTCAAGAAGGCGCAGCAGCAGCAAAACAACTGAAGAAGAGCTGGTTGGGCGCACAGTATGTGTTACTGCTTCAAACAGAAACAAACGTGCCGCCACCGCAAGAGCAGCAGCAACAGCTTCTGCATGGCGATACTCTCTGGAGACGGTCAAAGCGCTTTCTTTCCTCGGTGTTGCCGTTGCGCCGTTTGGAGAGGTGCAAAGACAGCGCAGATAGTAGCAGCAGCAGCGGTAATAGCAACATTCTTTCCCAGGAAGCGAACAGCAAAGACAGTGGGGGAGAGTGTGGTGCATCTGAACACTTCTCTTTCACGCCTATCCCAGTCCATGATCCGAGTAGTTTCAATACAGCTCATTTTCAAAAAGGAAAGCTGCAATTCGCAGTTACTTCCGGAAAGCAGCAGCAGGGGCTTTTACGTTGCATGAGGGCAGTGGAGCTTGCTGCTGTAGCTTCTGCAATTGGGGATGCACTCGACGGTGCGCTGAAGCACCACGTGCTGATGCAGCAATTCGTTGATGGCGCTTTAGATCCGCACCAGCTGGAGCAGCAAAAGAAGCAGTTGCTGCAAATGCAGCAGCNTTCGTTGATGGCGCTTTAGATCCGCACCAGCTGGAGCAGCAAAAGAAGCAGTTGCTGCAAATGCAGCAGCATGTAGAAGATGCACTCCAAGACGGACTCCCCCAGCTGTGGAAATTTGTGGGGCTGCTGCTGCAAGCCAGCAGTAGAAGTGTGGAAAAACTGCTGCGACAGATGCCGCTCTTGCTGCTGATCGCAATCATCGTCGCAGCAGCAGCAGCAGGAGCGTCTTTTGTTAGGCACATCGCTTCAGAACAGCCTGCGGTAAGCCATGCTGCAAAAATATTGACCGCTAGAAACTCCGGCCCTTTATGAGAACGGAACTCATGTCCCGGCAAGCTTTAGTGTACAGTGTTTGTTGGCTATACGAATGTATCTGGGGGCGGTTGTGGTTCATCCTTTAGTGTTCATGATCTGGCTTGTCTTGAGCAGGGGAAGCTGTACGCTGCATGCAGCAGTTGCTGGAGGGCGTTTGGAGCGTGCTGCTGCATTGCGGCTTCCTTGCTGCTGCTGGCAGCGGCCGTCTCTGCAGACTCTGCCAATCTGCTGAGATCCATGTTGCAGGATCCCACAGTAAGCAACAAATAGTGGCAGGAAGCCTGGTACCTTGAAGGATATTTGCCGTTTATATCATTCAACATCCAGTCACTCAGAGCTGAAGGGCAAGGTCAATGCATATGAGTGTGAGATGCGTGTGCAGATGCTGCCGCGCTACTTCCCGCTAGGGAACAAGGCGCTTGAGGGAATGGTACTGCGCAGCATGCAGCAACAGCAAGATTCCNCTACTTCCCGCTAGGGAACAAGGCGCTTGAGGGAATGGTACTGCGCAGCATGCAGCAACAGCAAGATTCCCAGGAGGGCCAAATGCAGCAAACCAGTGTTGCGCTGCTTCCAATCCCCATGACTGACGAACTTGAACAAGTGGTGGCAACTCTAAGCAGCAGCCGCACCCGCAGCAGAGACTTGTGGGACAGCATCTCCAAGCTTCAGCTACACCTAGAGGGAGATGCTGGCGCTGATTGGTTAGTCGAGTCTGAGTCTTTAAAGCGATGCTGCTGAACACATACGGGATTCTGTAGGTGAGATCCGGATTTCATGCTTTGTCTTGTAAAAGCGTGCTGTGTGCGCCATAGGGTGTACTACCCAGCTCCGTCGCTACCGGGTTTCAGTGTTTCTTTGTCAACCAGCAACAGGGGTAGTGGCAGTAACGCGGTGGGCTATCAAGAGCTTCTTCTTGAACTTCGGAAGCTTACAAACGTCAATTGGGCCTTCAGGTAAGGAAACAGTTGCCGGCGGAGCTCCTAAACATATAGGCATCGGTGTCCTAAGCCAGCGTGCAATCAAAGCTTGCTGGGCAGCATTTCCTGCTGCTTAGTTGATTGACTGAAGGCCCGGAGAACTAAGCCTGAGTAGACAGCAGTATTCAAGGAGACATTGCTGCAGGTTTGTCTTGCGCTGCAGCTGGGGACCCCTCCCCGAGGGTTGCGTCAATCCTGAACCCTTCCAGAAGCCACGAGC